TTTGCGGGCCTGGTCGAATGACGGACAGAAGAGGTCACTTGCGCTGGCTCTGCTCCAGTCTAGTCAAGCCTTCATTGAGAAGAGGAGGAAGAGACGGAACAAAGAAAATCTGAAGACAAGCTTAAAATTAGCGATCCAAAGCTGGAGAGTAAGAACCATGGCTGCAATGGAAGTAGCACCATCGATAAGGCAGCAACTTATGGTGGTGATGCTAATAACAACTAGAGACAAATGCAGAGCTCCATGGGATTCACTACACAACCGTCAACCTGTGACCAGCTTGAATTCCCACATGTAGACTTTGCATAGATTTGGCACCCGAACAGAGCAAAACTTGATGAGTTCACTAGACAACCCTGTCGCTAGCATGTACTACACTGAAACTCGAAGCTAATCAAACAATCAACCCTACGTAGAATTCGCCGTGCGCCATCCCACCTGGACTGTGAGCTCGCAGGGGACCAGGACATGTGAGCGCCTAGAACATGAGGGACTGTGTAGCGGTTGCATGGGAATGTGTAGATATCTGGGTTTCGGCTTCTCGAAGTCGTCGGCCCTTCGTTCAGCATACAAACCGGGTTTCACTTCTTCTGAGACTGCCCCAAGTAAAGCCATCAAAAGCTGATTGCCTGATTGCCACTTCTCCACATTGATATGAAAGTATTTTGATGCTCTCTTGATTATTGCAAGAGCTTTCTGCTGACTGCAGCCATGGCTCGTGTCGCCAGAGTAGCAATGATTTAGGCAATCACTGAAGATTACAGATATTCTCCAAGCTGAGTTCAGTCTAAAGCTTTGAAATGCAACGCTAAGTGGGGATGTATTTCAATGCACCATCTCAATCTCGATTGATCCTGAAAGGAGTCCTCCTATATGACAGGCTACAACACTGTAAGATCAGCAGGTTCAGAGTGCTTCTAATGCAAAGTTCCAACTTTCCTGCATGAGCTCAGCTTCGCACCACGCGGAAGTTCTTTCCTGGCCTCAGGCAGACGCAAAAAAAACACTGGTTGACGGTTGCGGTTTAGACTTCAGAGTTCAAGGTGCCGCGTGCTTAGCAGGGGACGAGACAATGGATTCGGAGAGTTTTGATTTTGATGGCTTTCTGAAGCTTCTACAAAGACGCCCATGGGGAGGAAACGTTGCCACGGCAGCGAGGCATGGCGAGGCATGGCGAGGCATGTAGAACCCAGAACGCGAACGATCCCGAAGTCCTCGGCCAAATCCTCAGCCTCAACCCCGATGAGCAGGCCTCGTTGTTGAGGTTTCTGAGATCTTGGGCGCTGTGCGCGCTGAGGTGGTTCTCTGCTATCTTCCTGGGCAGTGACGAAACCGAAAAGAAAAAAAAACACACAACATACTTATGAAGTACGTAGTGGCAATGAACTGTTGAAAGGTGGATGTAAGAAGCGACGGAGGGCTTTTCATGAAGTCTTACACGATGATTCTCAACCAGGCTTTGAAGACTTTGACTGCAGCCGAGATTCTGCTGCACATCACAGAGCTCCTTGGCCTTCCCAGTGACACCACGCGTGTGACCGAATGAAACTGGCAACAAGCCTAGGAGTAGGTGACTAGGGATAAGCCCCCTGTGAAGGAAAGCGCCCCTGCCCTGAGCACCTTTTCCCGGTTCCATGCCACGGCAAAGCACCCAGCCTTCGCAATGAGCTCATACTGCGCCTGCCTTGGCAGAAGCGAAGGTAGCACAAAACGGGCAAGCAAAAGCTCTTCCCATGGTCAGCATCCGAATGGTAAACGAACATGATGCTCTCCACTACAAAATTGACTATGCGAACTGGCAGCGCTGCTGTTCGAATCCGTTCGCATTGCTAGCCTTGAAAGCATACCTCCGAATTGTGTATGCATGATCTTCAGAGTCCCCGGGCTTTCGCTTCGAAAGCTCCTCGGCCAGCTGCTGCTGCAGTTCTAGGACCGCCTGAACATGCTACATCAAGGTTGAGGGCCAACAGATTGCATGCATACAATGCGTATTATCTGTCAGGCTGAGATATATAGACCACGCAGCTGCTTCGTGTATGTGCAAAAACGAAACAATTTAATAGGTTTGCACATGCACATGGTGCAAGTCACATAACTTTATAGCGCTTAGCACACGTGCACCACTGTGCAGACTGCTCTCACTCAGCAATTTTGCAGCTGCATGCGTGTGTAGAAACATAATGAACATGGCTGCCACAATCGACAGGTGCTTCATACCCATGACTTCATCTACAGAACAACTCTTCCACCCTTGGCCTCACCGCTTCCCTTCATGATCCTGTTCCTGCGCTGCCTCGGTGTTCCAACTTCGGGGGCCCTTCAAATTATCAATCCCCTTTTGTTGCCTTTTTTTTGAGAAACGTAGTTTGCATTCCTGCCTGGGCAGACTACTTGCAAGATGTGTTCGGCCATCCTCAGCTTTTCATAGCTTTTCCACCCCCTGAGCCGCCTGCTGCTCTTTCAAGTTGTCCTGTCAATTTTTGTTCGGCTTCTTGGGCTATACAGGCACCCTGGACCCTAGTTGCACATGTGTAGTCTTGCACTACACCTATACAAGCGATGACCCTAACCTGGCAAGCCATCTGAAGGGTGTCCTCGAGGAGCTCCACACGGCTCTGCAGCCTGGATAGAGACTCAGGGCTTGGGTTAAAGGGTTGCTAATTGGCATACTCCCCCTTGGGACCGCTGGCTCTCCCACCCACCGAAAAGTAGTCATTTAGCAGTTGCGTTGCCAGTTACCCGTCCATCTTGAACATATCCTAACAGTCACTGGAACTGTCAACAGAAGCCAGCCTGGTCACGACACTTTGCAGCATTTCGATTTTCTGGTCCTGCAGGCGCCATCATGCCCGGCACGTTATCACGTAGATTTACATGCAAATCTTCAACTGCCTTCCAATCAGCCAAGATTACGCAAAACCTCAACAGACTGTTTCTGCATGTCTGAATATTCGCCACATCACATTACCGCTTCAAGAGCTCCGCGTCTAGTCATTCATCCCAAAACTCTTGGGAACTCCATTCAACTCGAAGTAAGGGCCACAGAAGACTTCCCTTCTCTTGGGACACATCATTCCATATTCTTGCGCTTCTCCCGAAGGCAGCAGAGGAATACGTCCACCCCAGCCTTGTCGGCGGAGCGCCGCCTCTCCGTAGCCAGCTCCTCCTGGACGTGGGTTCAACGGGTCATCAGAGCAGGCTTAGGGTTTAGGGCTTTAGGAGTGAAGGAACTCAGGAGGTTCAGACTCACAAGACAAGCGTTGTGAGGCCTCAGATCATGGTGAGGAAAAGGGAGGTCTAGCTGCTTCTGAAATATCCCTTTCAGGACACCTTGCTGCTTCAGGAACTAATAAACCCCGCTGGGTTCTTATCCCTCATGTTGGCACAAAACAGCAGAAAGGCCTCCTACACCCTGAGGCTTGAAGGCTTTGGATCCCCTCCACAGAGCTTCCCAGCCTCCAGTCGCGCCACCTGTGCCTCAAAAGACGTGAAAGCAACGATTGTTGAAAGCAATGCAAAAAAAGTCTGTATTTCTCACCAAGTCCTGACACGGTGATATTTGGTTCTAAAGTGCTTAAGGAAACAGAGCCAAGCCTCCAAGGACTGCTTCCCGGATTCTTCTGCCTGTCCCTGCGCCTTCACGAGGGAAATCAGTCTCCATATTTTTGCAAATCTTTGGATGACATGGGCTCATTAATCATGCCTGCAGTAGCGCCAGTTGCCACAATGTCACCATGACTCATAGAGTTGAGTTGAGGAACAGTGACTAAACTCGACTACCCCTTTGCCCCGCAGACACAAAACCTGAAACTCCTCGCAGCCCCAATCCAAAAACCCGAAACCCCCCACCTCCCAAAAGTCTGAACCTCAAACCCTCAGCCAAAACCTTGAAATGCAGAGCTCGTTCACAGTTTTCCCGGAAGCGTTTCGCAAGGGCTGCCTCTTCGCTTTCCATGGTGCACTTGTTAAGGTTCTACCAAGGAACTGAAACCAGGCTCACCAGGCTTGGGGTAGTCAATCCTGGAAGGGATGCCAAGAGGAAAGATTTCTCAAGTACGTAGACGATCGGCAAGCTTGCTCGAGGCATGGGATGATGCAGGAGCGTACGCTGTAAACACCACAACTACCAGTGCATGCGAGCCATGATTCATGCTTGGCAGCAATCTACTAACTATAAGCTCTATCTACGACTGCAACCATGAAAATCCTTTTCGACTAGATCGAAAGCTGTTGTGATTGCTGCTTCCTGTCAGCACCACCGATCTACCATCCTGAGCTCGAAATGGCTGAGAAAACTCTTGTACGTCATCAACACAGGTGGGGATTATGGGCTTTCGTAGTCGTTATAACGGCTTCGTGAGTTTGGGCTACCTCAAAGCATGCAAGATTTACTTGGAAGCCTGAACTTAACAAATCAGGGGTCGCGCTTGACGTTGCCATGTGTGACAATTTTGGTATTCTTCGGCCCCAATGTGCAAAAAACAACCGAAAAGGTGCCACTACATTGGACAGAGCAGCCTGCGACATACGCTAAAAAGTAGATTTTACCTATGCCGTTTGGAACCCTGATTTCGATGCGCACCCATTCCTGGAAGACTCTCAGACTCTACCTTATACTCTTAGATGCAAGGTCCAGGACAGCCTCATAGAAGTTAGACACGCAATCTCTCAAGTATGAAATCTTCCAATCCATATAGCACTTTATACAAGAATCCAAATGCTTTTGCATCGTCTTCTTGCTCAGCATCTCCACCATGCCGATGAAACTAAAAACGTAGCAAGCCGGGAAACTTCGTGCCTCCAAATCTCTGGTCCCCTCAAATCGAACTGTAGCATGCTGGCTTACTTTGCAAAGGTTTGAAGAGATAATGATGCTTTACACCCCAACTTGCCATTGCTTACATCACTTGACTGGAAGAGCTTACAGGGGTCAGGCATGATATGAAACAACTGATCGACTGGTTTGCTGCTCAGAGCAGTGGCCATTTCGTGGGCAGCCTTTACTCCTGAGCGTCACAAGTAGCTTGCTGGCAGATGCCAAATGCGAGGACATGCAGCACTCCTCCATCTCGCTTTGCAGCTTCCAACCTCCGCGCCTTTGCTTCAAGAGCATCTTGCCTGTCAGCAGAGAGCCAAGCTTCTCAGGCAAAGATGGCCTTCGGTTGCCGCAAAAACCTTCGACGCAAGCCTCGGCACTCCTCGGGCATCTCTCGGATGGGCTCACCGGTGTCGTAGGGGGAGTAGACGATGCCCTACTTCGAACTTGCTGACATCCGGCACTCGTGCACACAGCATGCACACCGACGGTTCTAGCCTCCGTGTAGTGGTCATAGCGAATAGTCTTGGCGCGGGCCCACCACTCCTCTGATGCAACCTTTGCCAAAGGTACCGGATCAGTGCGAAGGTTCGAGCCCCTGAAACATCTTGCGCTGAGGCCCCGACACCAGGGATGAGCTCCCAACGGTACATCACTGGGATGATCTGGCCGCTTTACAGACTGTTCTCTACACGTTCTGGCACTCGTCCAGAGTCCAGCATCCGCCTTGGACGCTGTCCATAGGCCAGCCAGGCCACCGACCACGGGCAGCACCTGCAAGACGTGGCAAGAAGCGCTCTGCCCCTTCTCTCACCCTAGTTGTCACTGTCAAACCTTGTCCATGGCTGGGCAGGCCGCCCAGGGCCGGGCGGGCACAACGGGCGGCGGCCAGCTGCGCGAGCCCCAAATTCAAGCACACACACAATGGCATATCAAACTAAGCCAGGAACAGTTGTTGTTTGCACCCATGCCATCAGCATTTGTACAAAAAAAAATAGAGGCCACACCAAGCAAAAGTGTACACCTCCGGAAATGCTTCGCCAAACCATTACTACTTGGGCAATGGCATTACTCTTATTGGTATTTGGTATTTTTGTTGCAATGACCATTGCCATTCTTGTGGTGCCCTACCACTACCTCTATTCACATCACCACTCTTCACGTGTATCGCTTGTTACTGGTGCCACGCTCAGAAAGTGTCCTTTTTTTGGCGACAAGCAAGATGTCCAGACATTGCTGCTCGCACCATCTCTGTCTCTGAATCAAGCATCTCGAGACCCCATGACTCACACCCCAACTTGCCATTGCTTACA